ATAATTTTAAATCTAAATTTACATATGTCCTATCAAGTAATGAGCCAAGAAGAGATGTTAAACATTGATGTCAGGTGATAAATTATAAGCATTATGTTTATTTGTTCCATTAGAAACAGAAAATCCAAGCACATTGAATTGTGGGAAACTGTATCTCATGCATTGTATTCTCAGATCTAGTTTACTTTTTTGTTATTTTTAAGTAAATCCCCTTCACTATGTATTTTAGTGTTTTTCTCTTCTAATGCTCTTTTTTAATGAATGGTTTTGGTTTGGTGCCGTTGGTGTGAATTGTCTGCAGGGATGTTGCTGAAGCTGGTGTGTTTCGTTGTGTGCTGCAGGAGCAAAGGCAGCTGACCCATGAAAACGTCCAGAGGAAGCAAGCGCACAGGAGAGGAGCGTGACGAGGAGGATGAAGAGCAGCCCAGCAAGAGTGAGAGTAAAACTCCAAAAACCTGCCACTCGGCTGGGACGGAAAGGTGCTTTTAGATTTATTGTAGTTATTTACAGTGTTCTTTAGGCATTGAAGTTAGACATTGAGATGATTCCAGTCCCTTCAAAACATAATTAACAGTAGTGATCATTAAGGCTTGGGCCTTAGTAAATAACATCTGTTTTTGTTGCTGTTTTTTAAATTTGAAGGGAATGTTGTCGACAACTGGCGAATCTTCGAGCAGGAGTATGACATTTTCATCGCGGCGGCACACCATGGTAAGTCTGCCAAGACAAGGGCCTATATCCTCCTCAATCTCGCAGGGCCGGAGGCCATAGAATGAGAGCGTTCGTTCGTCTATGCACCGGGTGGGAATGGCGCTGCCAAATTTGCAACCCACAACAAAACAAAACCATTGAAAGACACAAGTTTCACTCCAGAAACCGGAACAAGGTGAGACTATTGAGTCATTTATCAGTGATCTCAGGATTAAAGCAAAAGCATGCCATTTCGGAGAATTGACAGACGAGCTAATCTGTGACAGGATAGTATGCGGCATCAGCAGTGAAAGCTTAAGGAAGGCACTGTTAAGCACTGTTAAAATAATAAAACATTGGCAATGCCACAGACGCCCACTTACGTGGATGCAGTACATCCAATTTCCACCAGTACACAAGACAAAAGCCCAAAACAGAACAGAATGATTCACCCACCATAACGAATTGCAAAAACTGTCGAAACAATCATGTGGCAAAGAAAGAAAAATGTCCGGCTTTTGGACAGCTCTGCCAGAACTGCAAGAAAATGAATAATTTTTTTGAAAACATGTTGCAGATTGCGTTGTCAGTTTGGACCAAAGAAAGCAAACTACAAAAAGATGGTACATGAACTTGAAATGGACAAGCCCCCTGTACATGATTACACTTTCTGTGTTGATGGCATTGAATTTGATAGGTGTGTTGACACTGTTAACTCTTTCATGGCTGAGCAGGAAGAGGGATTTGTCACTTTGCACATAAACAAAACTCCAATTAAGGTGAAAGTCGTCACTGGGGCAAAGTGTAACGTAATGTCACACACAACATTCAAGCGAATTGCCAACAATGTACAACCAGTGGAGCAAGAAAGCACACCTAACCTTGTGGCTTATGGTGGGGGTAGAATTGAAACAAAAGGTTTAGTTACACTGCTGTGTAGTTTAAAAGGACAAAGTCACTCACTCCCATTTTTCTTGGTGGATTAAGATGTCCAACCACTGTTAGGATTTCATTCATGTTTAGACATGGGGATTGTCACGATGAGCCCACATGTTCATCTGGACAGTATGGAGAGCAGTACTGAACAAATCCTCAAAAAGAATACAAAGATTTGTTCACTGATGAACTTGGAGAACTTTCAATCACATACTTCATGAGTCTAGTACACCATACACCAGTCTCGGAACCAACAGACTGGGTTTTGTCCATGGTTTTGACATAAAAAGGACAGACAAGAAATCAGACTCTACATAAATTAAAGATCTCAACACTGCCTTAAAGTTGACCCCATAACCCAATGCGCAGCGTAAA